AGAATCTGTTGAGTGCAATTTGTACCTTGCATGAGTGTGGAAGTCCCCCCATTTTAGTACTACATCATTGGGAATTAGGCTTCAATATGTGGGCTTTTGGGAGGTGCATAAACATTCAAATGAAAGTTACTATGAACTAAGGTATTTTTTCTCCTATCAGAATGTTTATTTTATTTTCTATAAAAAAATCTTTCAGACTTATTTTGGAATAAAAAAATTATAAATCAGGGCTAGAGAGATGTCTCAGGGTTAAGAGCACTTGTTGCTCTTGCAGAGGACCCAGGTTTGTTTCCTGGCACCCACCTGGTGTTTCACAACCATCTGTAATTGCAGTTCCAGGGGACCTGACACCCTTTTCTGGACTCCATGGGGATCGGGCATGCATGGTGTGCTCAGACATACATGCCGGAAAACACTCATACACAGAAAATAAAATAAATCTAAGAATGTATAAATTATAGCTCATTCTTGTACACACACTGAAGAGGAAAGTTATGAGTGATGCAGATTGAAAAAGTTTCCCCTAAATGGTCTCATATTCAGAGACCTACTTTTCTCGATAGCTTTTCAACGTAGGCATTAAAAACTACTTTTTCCGCATTCAGCGTGGTCCCGGGTGCTCCATAAGATGATAGTATGCAGCTGTTAGCACAGCCAGGAGTCCCCAGGGATGCTCAGGCCCTAACCCACTAACCATCTTCTAATCTAGTTTCTGAAATTGTTTAGACACTATATTTGGGTAGGAGTTGTTGACAGCTCAGAGTCCTCAGCACCCATTTTATGGGATGTCTAAAGAGAGACTTATTTGTGCTTTATGCCTCAGTTTGGGACCACCTTACTCAGGTGGCCCTGGGCTTCACAGGTACCTGTGAGGCAGACCTTCCATTCTGATCCAGGAGATGCTATGGTACCAGATGAGGAAGCCCTGCTTCTTTTCTGGTTTGTTCATCAAAGGGTGTGTTTGGAGCACCGTAGGTAGCCACAAGCTGCTGGACCTGATCCATCCTTTGGGTTGGCATAGGTGTCAGCCACACAGCCAAGGACAACAGCTTGAACCTCAATTATGTGGCTGGGTCAGATAGCCAAAAGGAGATGGTTGAGAGGGACTCCGAGAAAAGGTGGAACACCATTGTTTTCTGAGAGATGAAGGTGCTCGCATTAATGGCTACATGTGTCTTGCGAATAAAAGAGTGTTTGGTGAGATGATTCACTCCCTCCTTCCAGCCACACCTTCTCTTATCACTTGAAAGGATGCTGAGCAGACAGGAAGCATGTCGACCTGTTGGCATGGGACCAACTCATCCGCTCACAGATACTCAGTGTTTCCTCTCTTCATTTTGGAACCCAGGCAGGCAGGGGGATCTAGATAGGTATTAGTGTTGGGAAGAACTCTTTCCTCTCAGCTCCGGAAAAGAACTAGAGTTCACACTGCTAAGTGGCCTTGGAAAACCTTGGCTAAGTTTCTTGCTAAGTTCTGAGGAATAGAAAATTCTCCTAAGAAAATACTTCCAACAATCTTAGGAGGAGACTTGCCATCTGTCTTTAGCCAAGCGAATGAAATGGCCTGGGGCATGTTGTAAGGCCAAAAAGATATGACTATGGCAGCACTTCAAAGGGAATTTGACCACGGGTTCTGGAGCCACAGCTATCTGGGCTTTATGTCTGGCTTTGTTACTTATTCTGTGACTCTGGGGACTTAGCTTTTTCTGACCCTCAGTTTCTATCCCTGTAAGTAGATGATAACAGTACCCATCTCTCATGAGGGCAACTGGGAAATGTTTGGGTTGAGGGGGGTTTTCAGCCCAGTGCCCAGAGGCTCATAAGCACACAGAAAATGATAGTTCTTATTATTGCTTGGAGAGGGCGGGGGCAAATGACTCAGCACAAAAGCAGACATTTACCATAGAAATTCTTATTCGATTCTATTGCCTTTCCCCCACAGCACATTTGACTGATGCCTACAAATTTTTGACATAGTTAAAAGTCTTGCTTAAGATGATATAATAAAGAAACCACCAATGGGATGTGGTGAGAGGTGTGTGTGTGTGTGTGTGTGTGTGTGTGTGTGTGTGTGTGTGAACATGGAACCAAGTAAGAGAGTAAGGATAATTTTATTTGGTCTTTGGACATATTGTGATAGTCCTACCTGCAGGTGAAATGTGTTATTGTGATGGTCCATTTTTTCCCTTTTCTGGATAACTATATAAGTGTTGGGATCTACAAAGCTTACCAGCCTCTCCTTACATCACACTGAAACTAATAATAACAGAGGTAATTATGGTTCTGAAAACACCAAAAGCAACTGAATGGTGGTTTCTGTCTAGGCCCTGTGATTTCTACTTGGTTACTAGCCCATCTGCTGAGGGGAATGTTCTGGGACTCTATTAAACCCATGTCATTTGGATGCTGGCAACACAGTTGTGGGAGCAGGAGATCACGTTAGGGGAGAGAACACAATGAGAGCCCTCCTGTGCCAAAAGCTCATCTTCCCTGGGTAAACAGAGCCTTCTACTGAGGCCAGCTGAGGGAATGTGGAAGTCTACAGTGGAGCTTCCACTGCAGTTAAATTCCGGTTTGTTCCAGAGGTAGCCCAGGATGGATGAGAGACGGGTGCACCTTATTTGAAAGTTTCAACTTCTATTACTCAGCCCCAAACAGATACAGAAATCATTAAAACATTCGAAACAAACCAGGGCGATCAAGAAGGCAGAAACATTCTTTATCAGGAAGAAACTTCAGAGGCGAGCTAATGTCCTGACACTGATTTTCAAATGACAAAGCTAAGAAACACCAAGTTTTCCTGACTCAGTTCTCTCCACAGACACCGCTCACAACCTATCTGTGGGTTGCTGGTATATGCAGGGGTATGGGAGATGGAAGATCTCCCCCTTTATAGCGTGAAGCTGACTGTAATTGGACCAATAAAGCACACACACACAGAGCAATATCAGTGTCTGAGGAAAATGTAGCATGTACCATGGGTGTGATGGGAGTTGAAGCAGAAGAAGTAGCTTCTCTTCCTTGATGGGCCAAAGAATCTCTACACAGAAGATGGACCATGAGAGATGTGTGTGATTTGGATAGGAAGAGTGGAAGGCCATTCTAGTTAAGACAAAGATGTGTTCATGAGACAAAGACAGGCAAGTAGGGGACGGTTGTTGGGACAGTGACATAGGTAGGTCTTCTGTGATTATACAGTGTTGGCATTGGAGGACGCTGCAAGAGGTAATCTCAACATCTTCATTTTATGGTTGAGAATATTAGGTCCAGAAAGTGGTTTGCCCAATGTTACCTAAGAGTGGCCAGCATAATCAGACACTTAGCTCACAGTATCTCCCCAGTGCCTTTCTCCTCTATGCTGCTGACCTCAGGGAAGGTGTGATAGAACAGGAAGACCACAGAAAAGCTTGCGGGAGTGACAAGATGTTTATTAGGACACTGAAAGCCTGCAACCCTTTGAAGTGGGACATGGTCAGAGTAAGACTCTACCACCAGGGAGCTCTGGTGATGGCGTCTAGGATGTGCAGACTAGATGAAAAGCGTAGATCTGGCAAAGAGGACTCCCCCCCAGGCTAGGTAGCTGTGAGATAATTGTTAGGCTTGGGCCAGGATCTGCTCAGGGCATGCTCACCTGCAGCAGCCATCCTGAGATCAAGACATACCCTTCTCTGAATTGCTCCATGTTGCGTAAAAGCGTGGTCGTTTCCACTTTTATGAGCAACTCTTGATTCCACTTTGAGGATGGAGGATGATTGTGCCTCTGAGGGGACCCATAAACACATCTGTCTGGTACCACCCATGTAGCCCAGACTTATAAATAAATGGCTTAGTCCCTGGGGGCAGAGAGGCCACTGCCCTGTAAATTTATCAGGTGTGTTGAGACTATCGGGTCAATGGGCACATTAAAGTTATTTTGGGGAAACAAGGCTCAAGAACTTAACAGATATGGCAGGTAAAGAAAAGAGTGTAGTTCTCTTGTTTGGACCCCCACAAAGTGGTGGGCATTTAGCACTGTAGTGGGAAATGACATCATACCCACCTATTTTCTGATACCTAGTGATTGCATCAAAGACCGATGACACACAAAGAACTCCTGGCTATCCATGAGGCTTCAGCTAGGTTTGCTCCCCTGCTGTTGACCCGGCCTGCTTGACTGTCCCCTATTCATCCACCTGCTCACCATCTGGACTTGAATCTGCCATTCTTGGTGGTACCCAGTTCTCCCTTTTCACCTTATATTTAGACTCAACTCTGCATCTTTGTTTTCAGTCCTGATTCATAAAGCCACAGCAGCAGCTTCTTCCCTATGACTGGTTTTCATTCCTCTCATCTCATTTCAGTAATCTTTATAACTCTGCTGTAACTTCTTTAACTTGTGTTCATTTGGTAACTCATACACACACACACACACACACACACACACACACAGTGCTGTGTGATATAAGAGTTAATATTAGTGTTAGGAATTTTCCTAACGTGAGCTTTCTGCCGATGCAAAAATCCCAATCAAGCCAAATCACAACAAGCCAAATTAAAAAATATCCAGGTTTAATGGGATTCCTGCGCTCTCGGGTGGCCGGGGAACCGGGAAGCTGTGAATGCCACCACTGCCGGAGAGAGGAAAGAGACCATGAGGAAGCAGTTTAAATAGACTGGAGGCGTGGTCAAGATTTTAGTGGGCTGTCTTGACCCTCCTCTGGGGAGGGGTCAAGGCTTGGTGGGCAGAGGGACAAGGCCTCCAAAGATAGAGGTCAGAGACCCGGCCTTACAATTTGTAATTAGATCAGAATAAAAGAACCTGCATTCCCCTTGGCCCAATTACCAAGGCAGGTGGGATAACCTGGCAAATTGTTGCCCTCGAAACCACTACATCTTGTGAATCTATTGTTACTCAATAAATTTGAATGCTGTGGAAAGACACAAACATGTTGGTCTATGTTTCTTACACAGACAGTACCATGATGAAAATCCTTTATCTTTCCCTCCTGATACTCTTACAGATGCTGTAAAAGAAATGGCAGACACCACACCGTGATTATTTGTGAGCCTATAATCATCACTTGCCCAAGCACCCTAAACTAGAAGAGACTACAGGTGACATTGCCCATATAAGCGACATATACTCACCAAGGGCTGAACCTGTCCCTCAGGCAGCCTGAGGGCAAACAAACACCGTGGGCCACGCATCAGCTACAAGATGGAGGACCTCCGCACTCCCTGTGAAACTTATAAAGGGAGACCAAGTGCCTTGTGGGTTGGAACTCTCTTTGTATGACTGTCTGTGTATGCCAATACTAGCTCTTCCAGTAAATCTCTCTTACCCCCCCAAACAATCTGTCTTCGTGTCTTTCTGGAACCCCAAATCTGAGACCTTAAAATAGCACAGACTAGGGATGAATCTGAGAAAGTGGAGAGGAAATGGTAAGTGTAACAGCCTTAACCGTTGACTACAGAGGAGTAAGGGTGCTGCAAAGCTAAAGATAATGTTGGAGACAGACTTGTCTAAGTGCCCATGGGAAAGAAAACCAGCTTTCGTGATGTCTTAGGCCACTTTATATTTCCGCTTAACTTCTGCTGCTATTTCCTATGGCTCTATTACTCATTCAGTCTCTCATCCAGTTAATGTTTTTTGAGTCCCATGAAAGCTATTCTGTAGCCACTCCCCAATCAGCATGGTGTTTCTGTTGTCCTCTTCGGTTCTGTCTCCCTGAACTCATCCTGGACAGAGTTGTTGGAGGGAACAGAGAGGTGAAATACGAACAGCTTGGTTATTGAAAAGAAAAGAAACTGATTGTCTGGGAGGGTGTTGAAAAGTCAGCAAGATTTGAAACGGGAGGAGGATCAAAGTGTCTTGGGGAGAGAGAAGTGGGGAGACTGTGCACACAGAAGGTGCTGGTTTTAGGGGAAGACAAGGTCTCACTGTAATGATAACAAAGGGCCTCTTGTCCATTCACAGTCAGGGGCCTAAAGGGCGAGCAGCCTTGGCCCTGGGGCTGGACAGAGGTGGCTCTAGGCTCAGGCTTCTGCCCCCCAAGGGAGTGCAAAGTCCTAGAGATTAGCCATCAGAACTGCTAGACACCGAGACTCACAGTGTTAGAAGACTGAGGGCTGATGAAGGGCCTCCATGTGGCCTTTACACAGTTAACCTTATGACAGTGTCCTTCCATGGAATCCCATTGTCTATTTTTATTCCAGATGTCTTACCATAAACTAGAATTTTTAGGGTAAAAACCCAGGCTTTGGTAACCCCAACAGGCTAGGATCAGCACCCATCTCAACATGCCAGTTAAAGACATAAGTGATGCTGAGAGACAGACAGAGAAGGTTCATTAAGCGTGGCCACACTGGGAAAAGGAATAGAGAGAGGGGGTTTGGTAATTCCAAGTTTGTCTTCAGGGAATTGATACAAACTTTAGGTGTAAATAGGAGAAGAACTTGGGCAGTGGGATAGAGGTGAAGTAGTCTGGTCAAGGTGTGGTTCTGCCCATTATTGTCTTGGCTCCTGCAAAGTGGTCTGCTAAGTTATTAGTCATAGCTGGAGACCAGTTTGAATTCTACAAGATTGTCTGCTCCAAGGTGAAGCTGTTTGTCACAGATAAATTGCTCTTATCTTGTAATGTTGATTCCTTCAGGCTCATTGGTACTCAGGGGCTGGGGAGGGGGGTTAATTTCAGTTCCGTGTCACATAGACGGGTATCCTATTGTTCCTGGAATTCAAGGTAACTCAAGAAAATAGAGAAAGAATGATGACTTATCTTTGTGCCTTTAGCCTAGGGATAGGAGGAATGAGACACTTGGCCGGTAGCCAACATGCCCATGCAGAGGCAAGTAAGAGTCCGAGCCAGAGGAAAGAAGACAGACACAAAATGATGGCAGAGACGCTAGGCCTATGTCTTGCTTCTGTAGTCTTAGTGTGTTCACACGAGCAGCCAGTGTTCTATAGCAAAAACAGCTTTTAAGCATCTGTTATTTATTACTGTCAACTGAACTCTTACATCAGTGTGATGAGTACATTAAGTCACACAGACCAAAGCTCTTCTAGACCTGCACCTGTGTTTCTAGGAAGAGCACGATGATTCTGGACTTACAGGTTTCAAGAGGAACTTTTGGGGGCCCGGGAAGATGGCCCAGAAGTTAAGAGCATTGGCTACCTTTCCAGAGGACCTGGGTTTGGTTCTTAGTATCCACATGGCTGCTCACAACCATCTGTATCTTCAGTCTCAGGGGACCTGATGCTCTCCCTGACCTCCGTGGGTACCAGGCACACATGTGAGGCACAGACACATGCAAGCAGACTACCACTACACATAGACAGAAGTAATAATAATTAAAAAAGATTAACTTTTTTTTTTACCTTAGTCCCTAAGGGGCTTCATAGAAGATCTCTGACAGAGACCAAAATTCTCAGGTGTTCACATTCTTTTTCTCTTTTTTCTTTCCCTTCTTTTTCTCCCTCCCTGCTTTTCTTGCCTGATTTTTTTCCTTTTTTTTTGTTTTGAGACAGGGTTTCTCTGTGTAGCTCTGGCCATCCTAGAACTTACTATGTAGATCAGGCTGGACCCTAACTCACAGAGATTCTTCTTCCTCTGCCTTCTGAGTGCCAACATTAAATGCATGCTCCACCCCATCCAACTCTCAAGTTCTTATAAAATGGCATAGTGTTTGTTGGTAGCCTACATATATCTTTATACATACTTTATGTCATCTCTAGATGACATATAATGCCTAATATGACAATGAACACGTAGAAATTGCTTTTGCTAAAAAAGCAGTGACTCTGCTTGGGTCCATGGAGCTAACAGCAAGATGAAAGCCTTTGAGATGTCTTCATTTCATGTCTATTTTCTTTACTTTAGGCCGGACTCTTACTCCATGCTGAAGGGGTGTGTCCATCACTCAAGATATATCTTCCTAACATATGTCTTATTTCCCTTCAAGGCACAGAGGTACATCATTGTACTAAACCTGCAGCCACCTTGGATTCTAAAAAGCGCAAAGCCTCCGAGAATAATTCTTGATGATAAACAGACCCCAGAGTGGAAGCAATCTACCTCAAGTGAGATTGCTACCCTCAAGCAGACTTCTTCAGACCACCACAGAGAACAGCAAGTGAGAAAATGGTCACCCCGACTAGTCTTAACCAGGATTGATTAGTGGTGCAGACCTTCTGGTTCTTGCCTCTATTGAAACCTGAAGCTCATGTCAGTTCCCTGCAGTCGAAACTGGGGGTCAATGGACTGATTAAATCTCCACTTTCTGCTTCTTATCATCACTTTCTAGTGTTTGTGGATCAGAAGCTGAACCTAGCCTATTTGAACTCCTAGAAGTGGGGTGTTTGTTTGGAACAGCTCTGGTTGCAACATGATATAATTACTAAATCAATAGTGTTGTACTATATGGTTTTTAGGACTAATTGGAAAATATCTACAGTGTTATGCACAGACATAGCTCCTTTCCCAAACATCTTCAGTCAGGGGTTGGTAGAAACCTCATATGAAGAACCAGTAGATATAGAACCCCTGGATGTGGAGGTCTGACTACTATCACTATAGAGTGTAAGGTCTATGAAGAGAATTAAAGAAACATGGTCACCAAGCACAAGCAAATAGCTTTCTATTCACCTTCCAAAATGCTTAACTAAGTGTCTGCTGGCTTCCTGCTGTATTCTCTGAAGTTAGAGTGGTTTGGGGGTGCATAGTTTTGTTCTGGAGACCTTGTTATGCTACTTTCTATTCAGAGACCAGGCAAATCATTGAGTATCTGTAGACTTTTTCTTCATCTGCTAGAGAGATCTAATATTTACTTGGCAGTTTTACTAGATTTTAGCACATTTCTGGCATGTATGCTAACTGTAAGTCATTATTTGGATCAACAAATGAGACAGATTGGAGTTTAGGACTTGGTAGCTGATGTTTGCAGTTGTCTCATAGCTGTTCCCTGCAGGGGATTCTGAAAAGAGAGACTAAATAACTGAAAGAAATGGGATCCTCCCAATGACAATGGTGGCATTGCCATCTGCAGAGTCATTCTAGAGGTCAGGTTTCTCATCATGCTGTCTTAGGGTTTCATTGCTGTGAAGATACCATGGCCATGGCAACTCTTATAAGGAAAGCATTTAAGTGGGGCTGGCTTAGAGTTTCAGAGGTTCAGTCCATTATCAATATGGCAAGAAGCATGGTAGCTTGCAGGCAGACATGGTGCTGGAGAAGGAGCTGAGAGTTCCACATCTTCATCCACAGGTAGCAGAAGGAGACTGCTACACTGGGCAAAGCTTGAACATATACGACCTCAAAGCCTGTCCTCCACAGGGACACACGCTTACTCCAACAAGGCCACACCTTCTCCCACAAAGTCACACCTCCTAATAGTGCCACTCCTTGTAGCCTTAAAACACACGAATCTATAGGGGCCATACCTATTCAAACTACCACAGCAGGGATGGACATATCTGAAAGTTTAGTATAGGAAACATGAGAGCTGGGTTCTATCTGGTTAGGAAAGCCAGGTCCCAGCACAAAAGAATCAGTGGCTTGTGCAAATTTCACATTGAGCCACAACTATAACCTAAGTGCCCTGACTTCCTGACTCATACCCAATGGTAAGAACCCATTCTGCTCCCTGTATCTGGGTTTGGCCCTCTCTAAAAGCAAGAGAGTGACATTGGTGAGCTTACTTGGTTGTCCTGGTTTGGAGGACAGTGAGGTACATCAGTCTTCCATGGGAAGGCTTCTCAGCCTTGGTTTCTCAGAGGCCAGTGGTGAGAACAGATTCTTTTCTGAGTCTTCAGGAAGCGCTGAGCTTGAGAAAGCACCACAGGCTTGAGAGGAAACTCACTGAAACACTGAAGGGGAGGGACAGAGGGGCTTATGGGCAAATCCTAAATGAGCAGAACTTGGAGGCCTGGTCTCAGCACCAAGAAGGGTGAAGGGGAGAGCATTCTGTAAATATTTAGGAGACATTAGTGTCAGAGAACACAGTGATTGAACCTGGGTTAAAGGGAATGGAGGGGGAGTCTTGCTTAGAGCAATGGAGGCATGTGTCTGTTTGGGATTCTTCCCAAGGCTCAGAGCTTAAGACCCAACAGAATTCAAGACGTAGATCACATCTGGGCCAGGGAAAATAGGCCCAGGTCACTTTTCCTATGAGGGAATTGGGCAGAAACAAATGGAGAACCAGGAGAGCAACATGAGAATCGGCGATAACCACGGTTGTCCTGGTTTGCTATGCCTTCTTGACGCCCCTCTTTTAAAACCTCCCTGCTTCTCACATGTGCCTATCACAGCTCAGGTTAACTTGTCTGAAATGGCGCACACTGTCAT